ATATATATATATATAACAAAGATGTACAAGTTCTTCTGGTGTCCCAAATTACTTTATTTATTACCTGTACATAAAAAGCTTTGTGACACTTCCTAAAGAAAGGTTTTTCATTTAAAATATATTATGTCTTCTAATAACATGTACAAAGGTAACAAGCACTGTTGAAAAAATAACCTTTTATCTCTACCTTTTATTTCCCTTTGCTTTACACACTCTTGTTTACAAACTTTAGTGTATGCCCAACCAAATTTTTTTTTATTTTTTGGGTATAGTAGGGAAGGATTACAATCCATGTTTCATTTTTTTCTGCTATCCAGGGTGTCACTGTGGTGGTAAGATGTTGAGGCCTAGGTAGCAGCCAAAATCCTCTGAATTTGATGTGGTAACTACCTTTATAGCTATGATGAATAGAATCGAGGAGAAGGAACAACCATGTTGAGTCCCTCTATGGTATAAAGAGAAAAGGCGAAGGGAGGTACAGTACAAATTAGGACTTTGTATATTCACTTTTGGAGCCTAGGGCCAATGGTAACTTTTTGTAGATACCATTTTGTGGCTCTATTTCAAGGTCCTGGCTGCATTATCTGGAACCAAAGTTAATTGAATCCCCATTAATGTGTCCACTTGTGCAATAGTGTGGGCCCTGCAACTGTTTATAAACATCAGCTTCCTATAAAAAAAACTTGTTTGATTGTTATGACTAATTGACAATACTGTAGGCCTAAATATAATCTTTATGTTAATAGTTTAAATAATATTTTAATGTTAACATTGACCTCAGAAATTAATCTATAGGGGGCGTGGCCTGGAGACTCATGTGAGCGGACGTGTCTGAGAGAGCTCCGGCACGAAATCCTGAAAATATCCTGTACATCTTCCGTTCTTACGTGAAGTCGCCACCTAAATCTCGTCTGTCTACTTACCGGACCCCTTGGGACTGTCGGCTACCACTCTGTCACCCTCCGCTTTCTTGGTTGTTTCAGGTGTACTGTATGATGTTAATGATGCTTGATGATGCTATGTAACTGTGTGAGACGCCTCGTGGTAGGAAGGACCCGGAACTCGAGGTTGTGAGGTGAAATCTAGGACGTGTGCAATTCTCTTACCCTTACCTGTTGTTAAGATACCTTTGGGATCTTCCCTTAATGTTATCTGTATCTGTCTACCCTTCCCTCTTGTCTTAGTGTCTTGATTGCTGTTGATATTATGCCCTTATGCGTATAATACTCATGCTGTACTGACTGCGACATGACACTGTGTTATAACTTTCTGTAAAATCTTAATAAAAAATTACTTGATTTAAAAAAAAAAAAAAAAGAAATTAATCTATAGGACTCTTAATCTAGAAGAATTTAATCAAAGCTTGCCTCATAGAATGATATGGGATGTCTATTAAAAATAGCTGCTTATAGAAAGATGGTTTGTAGTAATTCTATATTTGTTGTATCTCCTTTAACCCCCTTCATGACGGGAGACGTACAGTGTACGTCCCGTCACAAAGTGGCTATATGACTGGCCACGTACACTGTACGTGCCGAGTTATATTAGCCTCTGTAATGCTGGTAACTGCTGATTCTCAGCAGTTCCAGTCATTAATTAATGCCTCACTATTGAGACATTCATTAATGAAATAGTTAAGCTTTTTTAAAAGCTTCTTTCTTTCATTAATGAAAGAATGAAGCCTTTACATTCAGATACGGGTTCGCTAAATAGCGATCCCGTATCTGACAGCTGAAGATAGCAGAGAGGTAGCAGTGACTCACCTCTCTGCTATTCGTTTTGACAGCTGGAGAGCCTGGCCCGATGTTAAATGATACATTTCAACCACTAGATACAAAATGTATCTCTTGAGTGAAATGTATCAGTTTTGATCGTCTAGGAACGATCAAAGACCTTTAGTGAGATCTGATTCTGACATGCTGTCAGGATCAGTCTCTAAAGTTATTATTAGCTGTTCCTAAGCTTGGAGCAGCCTGATAATAACTAAAAATTTTAAAAAGTTAATTTATTAAGCAGTCATAGTGATTGCTTGATATAAACTGACAAAAAAAAAAAAAAAATTCTTTTACACTTATTTTTTTTACAAAGTGTAAAAAAAAAAAAAAAAAAATGTACAAAAAATTAGGAAAATAAAACGTTTATATATAAATATATTTGTATACTATAATTATTATTAAAAAAATTCTAAAAATAATAATCAAAACTTGCTGCTGTGGAAGAATCACACAGCAAAAATGTAAAAAGTGTGTCAGTCATTTAGGAACAGAAACTAAAAACTAGCTCAGTCATGAAGGGGTTAAATTACTATTGGGAGCGCATCATGGCCAAGGCATTTAACTAATGCAATCTCCTGTATGGCTTCACATATTCCTCTATGAAGATATCCTTATCCAATAACGTCCATTGATGTGGTGATAGCTGGGGAAATTCCAAAGTGTGAATGCATGTCTTTCATTTAAATAATTAGAACAATACAAGGTCTCATAATATTCTGGACTGCAACACTAATCATTCAACCATCTGAATTTGCGATTTCATGTGTGCATTAACATCATTTCTCTTCTTAACCATGTGAGCTAAGGAATTTACTTGACAAGTAAGGTAGCTTTGCAAAGAACAAATGAATATTGACCTGTTTGAAATAAATGTAAATTCTATTTTTTTTAACCATTTTTCCTACCATGACAGGTTTATTTTTTAATGTAGCATCTTGACATCTTGACTATCCCTAGTCATTTTTTATCATAGCATGTGAACAATTTAAGCCATCAATTCAGATTGTCTTTGTAACTATGTAACATATATTAGTATAGCCATTATGATCGATTATTATGATCGAACCATTATGATGATTATGATAATATTTCCAATTGGTCAGGAGTCCTGCCATTAGGATTGCCATTTTACAATGAGTCTGAATTGGAAGAATAATAATAAGAAATTCTATGATCAAATATCCCTTATTACCATATTAATATGAGATAGTACCACAAATACTGATAGGCTCCCTAATACTATGGCACATTTTATCCTTTTTCTAATTTGACCAGGAACAGGCAAAACTTTGTATAAGACTGTTGTCCTGCCAATTGATAGGCAGTAGTTTCTGTAGAGAGGCATGGTGATATGCTGGGTGAGGTCTGAGGATACTGTCAAGGAGTCTGAAGATTGTGGCTGAAGTGGATTCAAATGGCTGATAGACAAGATAATGATTCAACAGGAAAGAGGTTAAAAAAAGCAAAGGGGAAGCCTCTCGGAAGCAGACCTGATGAGTTGGTGTTGTAATATCAGAGGATGTTCAGTATAAAAAAATGGAGTCATGACACAACTCTGCCTGATTGTCCATGGTACAGGATGGGAAAAGAACAACAGGGGTTGGGAATATGGCAGGGCACCACAGGGACCCAACCAAATACCACACCAACATCAAAATAATGCCAAAACTTCAGTGCAGACTACCAGGTGTTTGTAAACTTTCCCTCATATGGCAATATGAGAACTTTCTAACAATGAAGATGTTCAAATATTTTATAGTAATTGACTCTATGATTGCATAAATGTATTCTATTTTAATATTATTTCCGCAAGCTAAGAAAAAATAAAGGAAACATAAAATATGTCACTTTTAATCTACCATGTATTTGGAATGACATAATTAGTAATAGCAATCGAGAGGTGTTTGCATGGCATAACAGCTCCACAGACAGTGAGATTACACCTGCAAATTAGATGTCTCTGTATGCAGTGGTATCTCACGTAACCATTTCGTTTACAACTCTTTAGATGAAATACCGTGTTATTTAGCAAGCATGCACATTAGTATTCAGTGTGCCTTTTGTATTCTCTATAGTCCCATAGTCAAATTATTTTTAGTATAATGAGAAAATTAACTGTAGTTTTTTATTATTGCAGATTAATTTCTTAACTATAGATGTGATTGACATTAATATTGGCATTGATGTGGTAAGGTCTTACTCCCATTTTGCACCAGTGTAGAATATCAAGCATAATTCAAGCATAATGCATAGCCTATTTAGAAAAGCAGCTGCTGTCAGAAAATCTAAAGATCATTTTATGTTTTAATTGTCCAACTGGATTGAATTATTTTGTTTACAATTTCTAAAAATATAATTCTTTGTTTCTGGCTGAATATTAAAGGGGCACTAAACTCAGAAGTTAAATCTTAAAAATGCATTCAAGTACCTTAACTAGGGATGCACCCATATATCGGTCTCCGAAACTTATCGGCCGAAAATGGCACTTTTGGCATCATGCCAAAAGTGCCATTTTCTGGCCGATACAGCAGGGCATCCGTGTATTCCTTTCTCCCCGCTGGGCGCTGCTCTGTGTCCCAGCGGGGAGGAGAGATACTGTGACTGCCAGCCGAGTGCTGTGGGAGGAGAGCGCTGTGAGTGGCCGGCGTCTCTCCTCCCGCACCGCTCAGCCTCCTGTCACAGTCCGGCACAGCGGTGTGTGGGCAGAGACAGCCAGCGCTGCCACAGGAGGCTGAGCTCTCCTCCCTGCACCACTCGCTCAGCCTCCTGTGACAGCTGTCAACAAGGAAAGCCAATGCAAACACTTAGCGATCTGTGATCGCTGAGTGTTTGTACATATCGTATTTTGCGGTCTATAAGACGCTCCGGGCGATAGGACGCATGGCTTCTGTGACAGAAATTCTATGACAGAAATTCTGTCACAGAAGCTGCAGTTAGTGACTGCTGAGACAGGTGGCGCTGTCTCAGTAATCACACAGAGCAGACGAAGAACGTCGTTCTTCGTCTGCTCAATGGGCTCTATGGTGAGCTCCTATGGGGGATCGTGACGGGTCACAGTCCCGCAGAGGAACGGGGAACCCAGAAAACCTCGGCGGGGGGTGGACACTATCGCCGATGCCGCCGCCGCTCAATTTAATACAAGGGATCTACTTAGATCGCTTGTATTAAACGAACAGCGGCTCCCACTGTACATTCAGCTCTGCTTGTCAGGAGCAGGGCTGAATGTACAAAAAGAAACTACTCGGCCGGTGCCCGAAACTGCCTGTCCCGGCTGTCGGGAAATAGGTATTCGCTCCATAAGACGCAGGCACATTTTCCCCCTCCTTTTGGGGGAAAAAAAGTGCGTCTTGGGGGAAAAAAATACGGTAATTGAGGACAGAGTATGGTTACTATATCCTCAATTATGAATGAATGGGAAGTGATCTACATCACCACCTGTTCATTCATAGTTGTGGTTATAGTAAACACACTGGGGGAATTTATTAAAACTGGAGCAGAAGAATCTGGAGCAGTTGCCCATGGCAACCAATCAGCATCTCCCTTCAGTTTGCTCAGTTGAGATTTGTAAATGAGACAGAGAAGCTGATTGGTTACAGTGCAAATCTGCTCCAGATTTTGTGTGCCTTTTGTATTCTCTATAGTCCCATAGTCAAATTATTTTTAGTATAATGAGAAAATTAACTGTAGTTTTTTATTATTGCAGATTAATTTCTTAACTATAGATGTGATTGACATTAATATTGGCATTGATGTGGTAAGGTCTTACTCCCATTTTGCACCAGTGTAGAATATCAAGCATAATTCAAGCATAATGCATAGCCTATTTAGAAAAGCAGCTGCTGTCAGAAAATCTAAAGATCATTTTATGTTTTAATTGTCCAACTGGATTGAATTATTTTGTTTACAATTTCTAAAAATATAATTCTTTGTTTCTGGCTGAATATTAAAGGGGCACTAAACTCA